CTCCCCACGCCTGCCCCATGACGCAACGGTGACCGCTTGCACAAGTATGTCAGCGGAGGGGCCGGGGAACGCCTGGAATTCTCTGAGCCTGGCAGGGCAAACACTGGAAAGTCTTTAGAGGGCGGTCCAGCGCTTGATAAAAAACTAAAAAAAAAAAAAATCAAGTCCGACCCTGAGATTGATAGACAGAGGCTGCCCTCTCCCAGAGTAGGAGAGGCCGAGGCCCAGGTCCCAGTCCGCAAATCAGCACCTCTGGGCGCCGTGGGGCTTGGAGAAGGCGCCCTCGCCCCTGGCTCGTAGGTCGCCGTGGAGCGGTAGCGACGATCCCCGGAGCACGATCCCTCTGAGGCTCCCGCAGTCTGGGCGGCAGCCCCATTCCTCCTGACTCCGGACGGCTCCAGGGCCCTGGAGCGTAACGCTTCTGGGCGCCGTGGGGCTTGCGGAAGGCGCCCTCGCCCCTGGCTCGTAGGTCGCCGTGGAGCGGTAGCGACGATCCCCGGAGCACGATCCCTCTGAGGCTCCCGCAGTCTGGGCGGCAGCCCCATTCCTCCTGACTCCGGACGGCTCCAGCGCCCTGGGGAGCGTAACGCTTCAGATTTCGCGTTCTGGCCGACTGCATGGCGCACTCCGGCTCCGGCAGCGGGCTAAGTCCTCAGAAAGCTACCACGGCACGCACAAGCACGCTCAGCACCGGGTCCGCCGGGCGACAGACCGGTTTGGCATCGCGCGCAGGGGGCGAAGTCGTTGGCGTGGTGGGGCCGCAGTTCAGAAGCCCTGAGAAGTTCCGCTGCAGCACGCGCGCCAGGTTGGGAAAGGCGCCTTCTGCCTGCGCAAGAGGGGGCAGCAGGTGATCGGGGACCTCCGACGACGCCTCCTCCGCCTCCTCCTGCTCCTCTAGGCGGGCCTTCTTGCTAGGGACTAGTCCGGTGTCCACACCATCGCTCAGACTACTGCTGCGGCGCTTGCGGCCGACCCTGGCGGGGCGCGGGGAAGAGCGGGCCAGCGTCTCCGCG